CCGCCCCTTCCTGTCCCCGGTTGGGCCCCGCGAGCCGCCCGCCGCGCCTCGGCTCCCCCGACAGGCTAGCGGGGAGGCTCCCGCCGCGGGCGGACCTGCCGGACCGTTTCCGTCGCGGGGGGAGGGGCCGGTCGCGCCCAGTCGGGGCCCGGGAGGGAAGCAGCCTTACCCCGCCCCCGTGCCTCGGTTTCCCCAGCTGTACGGGGCGTCGGCGGTCGGCACCCAGAGGGCCACACGGGGCGTGGCGGGGACCCGTGGCTCCGTGGTTTCCGAGCTGTGGGCTTCGGGGGGCAGTGCCGGGCTTTTCTTCTGAGGTGCCGCCGCCTTTGGGTAGGTCCCCGGCACTTACCGTTTGCGCCCGGCGGGCCCTCGGGACTGCCGTCCGGGGTGTCGCAGCTGCTCGTTCCCGCCGTGCGTCCGTCCAGCGCGTGCTGGGCGCCGGGCCTGAGCCCAGTGTGTGGCTCCCACCGCCCGTCGGCTCCGTGCGCCGCGCTGCGAGCGCCCCCCAGCGGCCGCTTCCGGGGCCCCAGCCACCCGCCTGGTCTCCAGGGCTGGGCCCCGGGAACCTGTGTTTCCCCTTCTTCCGGCATCCCGAGGCCCTAAAAGTACGTTGTGGTGTTGCTGGCTGCAGGGGGCCGGCACGGAGCCGCGGACACCCGTCACAGCGGAGCGCCGCCCCCATGACCTGTCGTGCTCCTTAGGGGTCCCCGAGGGATCCTAGAAGGACGCCGCCAGGCCTTTACTCCACGTGCTGGCTGGGAGTCGAACCCGGGTCTCCCGCGTGGCAGGTGAGCACGCGACCGCTGAGCCAGCTCGCCTCATATTAATTATCTCCTTAAAGCCTTACAGCGCCTGACGGAAGGGCCGTTTCCCCCGTTTTACAGAGGAGACAGCAGGCCCAGGAAAGGCCCGCTTGTGATGGGCGAGCTGGCACGGGCTGACAGCCGCCCCTTGGCACCCGGAGCCGCACGGCGCTCCTTTAACCCTCCCACAGCCCCCGGGTGGGGCAGAGCTGACGGGCTCGGCCGCGGCCCGGAAGGTCGGAGGTTGGAGGCCAGCACAGGTGCCTCGCAGTGAAGGCCTGGCAGTCGGCTTCTGAGAAACCAGCCGTTGAAAACCCTGTGCTGTGCGGTTCTGCTCCGACACACGGCGTCATCGTTCGCCCAGCTCGTCTGCACGGCGCTCGTGTTTGTTCCAAATCTGACCCCTCGGAGAAGTGTCCCCTGCTGCTTCCTGACCGCCCTGGGCCCAGGTGAGGGTCTGGTGGTGGGCCTGCTGGGGCCTCTGGTTGAGACACGGGCTGGGGGTCATGTTCACACCGTCTGCCGGTGTCTGTGTGTGTCTGTGTGTCTGTTCCCTTACCCTTGTGTGTGTCTGTCTTTGTGCATCTGCCCGTCTGTCTCTGTGTGTTTGCACCGTCTTCATCTACGTGCTTCTGTGTATGTGTG